TTTAATTAATCAATTAATTTAAGCATTTATTTTATAAAATTTATTTATTTATTATTAATTTATTTGAGCCGTTCTAAAATGAATTTATAACGCTTAGCTATTTACCTAATTATTACGCTTACTTAGCTATTTACCTAATTATTACGCTTACTTAGCTATTTACCTAATTATCACGCCTACTTAGCTATTTACCTAATTATACGCTTACTTAGCTATTTATCTAATTATTACTCCCACTTAACTATTTATATAATTACTTAAAATATTACATTTTTATTCATTCATTTTCAAATATTTTGCTAATCATTTTGATCATAAATACGGATAAAATAGATATTTGAAAAAAAAAAATTTTTTTTCTTATGTGATTTAAAAATGATCACAAAAAGGTCAAACATAATACTACTCCTTCATTAGATTATTTATCAATTAATTAAGATCATATATTTATCATAATAGATGATTTCGAAAGAAAATATTGGACGCTTAACCTTTAAACTGATAAATGTGATTTGAATGATTAAATGATAAGATATAATTTGTACCCATTACTCTTTTTGAAAAGTTACGAAAAGTAAGTAATAGTTCAATTTCAATTAACAATTTTTACAAATCTTTTCCAAATTTGTATTTTATTTATTCTATTTTTTTTTGTATCTTATATTAATTGTTTTATATCAATTTTAATTTAAATTTTATGTTTAATTAATTTCATACTTGTTTTATATTTATATGTTAACCTTTTTTGTGTGTAATGAAAAGATAAGTGAAATTTTTTATATTTTCTTGTATTTTATATTAATCATTTTATATCAATTTTAATTTAAATTTCATATTTAATTAATTTTATATATCTTTTATATTATATATCAGCCTTTTTTTTTGAAATAATAAAAAATGTTTGAAAATTTTGTTCATCCAATCGAATCGAATGATTGTTAGTATATTGCTTTTTTAATTATCGATCATAAAATAATTTTTTTTTAATTCAACTTCTACATATTGTTATAATTAATTGATTAATTAAAGTGGCCTGTTTGATTTTAAAATATACAAAATCAAAAAATTTCATTAACATCATCTTATCAATTAATTGAAATGAACTGAAAATTTTAATAAATTTCATTTTTGTTAAAATTTAAAATAAATGAATAATTTTTTTTTCGGTAAAGAAATAAATAATAAAATAAAAGTGATTGTAATATAAAAAGGAAAGAGAAATTATAAAAGCAAAAAGAAAAAAAAAGAGAGAGGATCATTAGGAGATGAAATATTACTAGATATTATTAGTGATGACATATTGCGTCTTTTTTTTTTTTTTTTTTTGGGAAATGTCCACCTGTCATAGCAAATTGAAGATAAGAAAAGCCTATTAAAAAATAGGCCTATTAAGCTAGGCATAAAATTTATCCAGCAACCAAAATTTGATGAAATTGACAAAGATAAGAAAAAGATGTTTACTTATCTGTTTGTCATTTTATAACCTAAGTTTAGAAATGGAAAACATTTATAATAATTCATTTCTAATTTGTAAACTTAAATTAAAAAAAAAAATCCTGCTATTTTTCTTTTTTGTCTAGGATTTCTTTTTCCTTTTTTTTCTTTTTTTTTGATGTCAAAATAAAAATTAGAATATGAAGTAATATGGCTTATTTACAGGATTTTATGATTAAAAAAAAAAATAAAATAAAATAAAAATGAAATTTGAACTCGTTCAGTTAATTTATGCTTTTCGATTTAATTCAATTTATTTTAAAATAAAAATAAAAATAAATTTTATCATTTGTGAGCTAATGATGAAAAAGAACAAACTTATTATACTATCCGAAATTATTTATTGTAATAAATTCGAGAAGAAATAAAATAAAGATTAAAATTAAAATTAAAATTTTTAAACACCAAAAAAAAACTTTCTTAAAAATAATACCTGAAAGGAATGAAAACCGGTTTAACATTTAAAACATTTCAATTCAATTCAATTATTTATCGTAATAAATTTACCAATAAATAAATTAAAGATGATTAAAATCTAAAATTACAATTTCTTAACTTTCAACATTTTAATTTTTTCTTCTTTTTTTTTTTTTTAAGCTAATGTCAAATGAGAAATAGGAAAAAATAATATATAAACCGGATTGAAGAATGTTATCCGGAAAATTAATCCGTTTTCTCTAATTGATGCAATCCCTTTCTCTTTTCATTTCTTTTCCCTCTTTTCCTTAATAAAGGCATTACAATCAATCTCATTATACAATCAACCTTTTTTTTTTTTCCTTCCATCTCTTGATTACTCATGAATGATGCAATTAATGAGTTTGATAGTTGTCAGGTCAAAGCTGTAAAATTTTTAAATGTCACCAAACATATGCTAATAATTATCATCATTAGCAGCATTACATTAAATTCTATTAGCTAATATTTTCCGGATTAATTGAAAAAACCGTAAAAATGGTTTAAATCATTAATGAATGTTCATTTTTAAGCTAATCCGTAATGAATAATTT